TGTTTTGTAGGTAGAGAATTGTAATAATTAGCAACAGTGAATCTCACCTTCAAGCCTACACCAGAGTCAGCCCCGGAGTCATATCCTGGGTGTATAGCGGCTGAGGTTACAGGTAGGAAGGGAGGCAGGGGTGAGTCCCAATGGAAACCCTGGTACCGTTGACCCTGTTGTTGCTGTTGTTGTTGCTGCTGTTGTTGTTGCTGTTGTTGTTGTTGCTGTTGCTGCTGCTGTTGTAGAGGCTGCTGGCCCTGTTGAGGCTGCTCTCTGCTCTCACGTCTTCCGCTCCGGTTGCTCCGGCTCTCCGAGCTTTTACGTGAAGGAGATTTGTTTTTAAGGCTGCCATTTGACCGATCCGAATCTAGTTTCTGAAAAACTTTACCATTCTTACTATCTGCTTGCTTGTTGGCGGCGTCCAGACCGTAATGAGCATCCTGGGAGTGTCCTAACTTGCCGTCCTTGTTGTTTTTGACGTCCTTGGAGCCACTCGTTTTAGAGTCCTTCGATCGCTCTTTATCCCGCTGGGATTTTTTTTCGCTCTTTTCTGAGCCCTTGCCGGAGGATGTTGGAGATTTGTTGCTGGATTTTGAATTGGATTTGCTGCTTTTCTTGGAGTTATCTTTAGTGGAGCTTTTGTGTTTTGGACTGCCAAAAAAACGGCTCCAACTAAGCTTGCTGTGAGTAGAGCTTTCATCACAGTCAGCTTCCTCCTTGTAAACACAGGACTTGCTGGATTTGGACAAGAGGCCTAACTTTTTCTTGCGCTTCTCTTTTTTCACTTTGACTTGCTTCACGTTGCTCTCGTCGTCGGAGAGTGAGGCTCCATTGCCAGGTAAGCGCTCCTGCAGCGTCGCCGGCAGTGCCACTGCGTTGTCTGGGGGCGCTACAACAGCCTGCGGCTCTACGTGGGTCAACTCCCCGTTTAAATTAGGATTGGAGGCTCCGTCTGGTTGTCTGAGAGCACTGAGGGTAGATAAACTGACGTAATTGCTCGGTAAATACGGCATGATGTCACTTTGGATGTCATAAAGTGGATCGTTGATATCCTTGGAGACCTCTGAGGCCGTTTCCTCTCCGTCCGTCTTTTCTTCTTGCGTCTCACTCTGAACATCGATCTCCTCTGGCAACAAAGACTTCCAGCTGAATTCATACTCTCCTCCCATTTTCATACTGGTGAGGGTCCCCTCCTGACTAAAAAATGGTTGAGGTAAAACCTTTGGCTCTGGTTCTTCGCCTCCTTCAGAGACACTGGAATCATCCTCACTCAGCTCAGTCAGTTCCTTAGCTGAGGGAGAGTGTACCGAAGTCCTACCCCTCGGCGCCTGCTTCGCCAGGTTCCTGTAGAACTCGTGGAGCTGCTGAAGCTCTTCCAGTCTCTTGGCGAAGTAGTGTGTTTTGGCGGTGAAGTTTGGGTCCTTGATCATCTGTTCGTAGCGGGAGCTACTCTTGAACTCTCCCGTGGGGTCTCCACCCTGGGGGACCAGAGAAAGTATTATGTTCCATTAAGAGCAAGAAGTGGTGGAGGCTCGACCATCCGTTCACTAATTGTGGTCGGGCCTTTTACCAGTCAGGTGAGGGGGAAGGGGAAAAAAATCCTAGACAAAAAAAATGCTCCTACATTTTAGAAAATCTGGAGGCCTTGGAAAACGACATAAAATATAAATCTATCCAATTATTTTGTTTTTGTTTTTGAGTTTTAGCAAATCGGTCTTATTATTGAATATTAACATTTATGCAATGTCAGTCACAAAACATTAGTATCAATCGGAAATTTATTTTGTAAATTTATTGATTTATTTTAATCCAGTTGTTTTTGCTTTCGAAGATGATAATAAATGTAGTAATAATAATAACAGATATAAAAGAGGAATTAATTTTAACATGAAAAAATAGCAGAAAGTTAATCATTAGAGAGAAAACTGGTATAAACCTCGTATATAAAATCAACAAGTTATGATTAAAACAATATGAGCAAACACCTGAGAATTAGTTGGAAACGTTTCAATCTTAGGAAATTGTTTGGTCTCAGAACCGAAAAATTTCCACAATAAAATATCTCAAGTGTTTGTTCAAGTATCTTTAAGCACAGAGTGAAGACTGTGTACATACCGTGGGGTGGAGGAAGACAGGGTCACCATTGGCCACCAGTTTCTCTGGTAACTTGGCAGGTTGAAAGGTCTCGTCCAGCACCACGGACGACCTCCTGGATGCCGCCTACTCAGCCATATCGCAAAGACAACATATTGCTGGATGTTAGTATAGGTGACAGAACTACGTGCAAGGAATACAGGTCCGTGTGATCGAATTTTGTTGTAGATCGCGTGAAAATAACACAGAAAAACGACAGAACCACACGAATGCAACACACGCGACAGGATCACACGAATGGAACACACGCGACAGAACCACAGACAACGAACTCAAATCTTTATGGCAATCTTTTTGGAGATTAAAATTATATAGACCACTGGACTAATTTCGGGTTTTTATATGCAGACCTACACACACACACACACACACACACACACACACACACACACACACACACACACACACACACACACACACACACACACACACACACACACACACACACACACACAGGAGCTGAGTCTCGACCCCTGGAACACAATTAGGCGAGTACACACACACACGGTTTCATGGAAGGCAAATCCTGTGTCACAAACCTTCTGGAGTTTTATGATAAAGTAACAGAAGTAAGACACGAGAGAGAGGGGTGGATTGATTGCATCTTCTTGGACAGCAAGAAGGCCTTCGACACAGTTCCTCACAAGAGATTAGTGCAGAAACTAGAGGATCAGGCGCGTATGACGGGAAGGGAACTTCAATGGATCAGAGAATACCTGACAGGGGGGCAACAACGAGTCATAGTACGTGATGAGGTATCACAGTGGGCACCTGTAACGAGCAGGGTCCCACAGGGGTCAGTCCTAGGACCAGTGCTATTTTTGGTATATGTGAATGACATGATGGAAGGGATAGACTCAGAGGTGTCCCTGTTCGCAGATGATGTGAAGTTAATGAGGAGAATTAAATCAGATGAGGAACAAGCAGGACTTCAGAGAGACCTGGACAGGCTGGAAACGTGGTCCAGCAACTGGCTTCTCGAATGCAATCTTGCCAAATGCAAAGTCATGAAGATCAGAGAAGGGCAAAGAAGACCGCAGACAGAGTATAGGCTAGGTGGCCAACAACTGCAAATCTTGCTAAAGGAGAAAGATCTTGGCGTGAGTATAACACCGCGCACGTCTCCGGAAGCACACAACCAGATAACTGCTGCAGCATATGGGCGCCTGGCAAACTTGAGATTAGCATTCCGATACCTAAGTAAGGAATCTTTCAAGACACTGTACACCGTGTACATCAGGCCCATACTGGAGTATGCAACACCAGTTTGGAACCCGCACCGGGTCAAGTACGTTACGAAATTAGAAAAAGAGCAAAAGTTTGCGACAAGGTTAGTTCCAGAGCTAAGGGGAATGTCCTACGAAGAAAGGTTAAGGGAAATCTGCCTGACGACACTGCAGGACTGGAGGGATAGGGAAGATATGATAACGACATACAAAATACTGCGTGGAATAGACAAGGTGGACAGAGACAAGATGTTCCAGAGAGGGGACACAGAAACAAGGGGTCACTCTTGGAAGTTGAAGACTCAGATGAGTCACAGGGATGTTAGGAAGCATTTTTTCAGTCATAGAGTGGTCAGGAAGTAGAACAGTCTGGCGAGCGATGTAGTGGAGGAAGGAACCATACATAGCTTTAAGACGAGATATGATAAAGCTTATGGAGCAGGGAGAGAGAGGACCTAGTAGCGTTCAGTGAAGAGGCGGGGCCAGGAGCTCGGTCTCGACCCCTGCAACTACAAATAGGTGAGTACACACACACACACACACACCACAACACACACACACACACACACACACACACACACACACACACACACTGGTTTTTTGAAACCAGAAACCCTCTTCCGATCATCCTAAAGTTCTCGAAGAGAAACCAAAATAGGGAATGATCTCTACATCATACCTAATTACTTGTCATATCCCCAATTATCTCCCATTCCCCTAATTTCTTCTCATTCCCTTAATTACATCTTATTCCCCAAATTTCCTACTACTACTATGTTCATTATCTCCCGTTCCTCCTCCCCATCCGTATAACCCGTCATACAGGTGAATATTAAGAAATTTACAGGTGAAAGTGTAAACATTTCCAGGTGAATATTCCAACATTTCCAGGTGAATATTCCAACATTTCCAGGTGACTATAAAAAAAAAATACTCGGTAAATTACACACTGTATTTAGGGTTTCCAGGTGGTCCATCTGGTCCATAGGTTCGGCGGTTTCGGCAGGTTCCTCCTGCAGGGTAGGCAGCAGGTGGCGATGATGGAGAAAGGGAATAAAGTGGATGCCAGCCTCCGCCAGCGTACGTTCGATATCTTCCTCAGTTACCTGTCAGAGAGTAGAGTTCAGATGATAATGGTTGGCATTACCTGGTGTAGTCGTGCGTATGAGTGCAGAGTGGTGGGGAGAGTAGTGTGGTGGGGAGAGTAGTGTGGTGGGGAGAGTAGTGTGGTGGGGAGAGTAGTGTGGTGAGGAGAGTAGTGTGGTGGGGAGAGTAGTGTGGTGGGGAGAGTAATGTGGTGGAGAGTATTGTGGTGGGGAGAGTATTGTGGTGGGGAGAGTATTGTGGTGGGGAGATAGTGTGGTGGGGAGAGTATGTGGTGGGGAGAGTATGTGGTGGGGAGATAGTGTGGTGGGAATAGTGGGGAGAGTAGTGAGGAGAGTAGTGTAGTGGGAAGAGTAGTGTAGTGGGGTAGAGTGAGTGTGGTGGGGAGAGTAGTGTGGTGGGGAGAGTAGTGTGGTGGGGAGAGTAGTGTAGTGGGGAGAGTAGTGTAGTGTGGAGAGTAGTGTGGTGGGGAGAGTAGTGTAGTGGGGAGAGTAGTGTAGTGGGGGGAGAGTAGTGTGGTGGGGAGAGTAGTGTAGTGGGGAGAGTAGTGTGGTGGGGAGAGTAGTGTAGTGGAGAGAGTGAGTGTGGTGGGGAGAGTAGTGTGGTGGGGAGAGTAGTGTGGTGGGGAGAGTAGTGTAGTGGGGAGAGTAGTGTGGTGGGGAGAGTAGTGTAGTGTGGAGAGTAGTGTAGTGGGGAGAGTAGTGTGGTGGGGAGAGTAGTGTGGTGGGGAGAGTAGTGTGGTGGGGAGAGTAGTGTAGTGGGGAGAGTAGTGTAGTGGGGAGAGTAGTGTGGTGGGGAGAGTAGTGTAGTGGGGAGAGTAGTGTAGTGGGGAGAGTAGTGTAGTGGGGAGAGTAGTGTAGTGGGACCTACAACACTAGCAATATATTCCAGTAAAGTGAGAGAGAGGGAAATGCAGGATACTACGACCTTACACTGGAGACGTTTCGCTCAAGCAGCGGTCATTATCAAATCATGAAGCAGCTTTCATCAAGGTCCCAGGACTAAACCACCTAATACGTCCAAGTATTTGCTCACGTGTCTGTTTAAAGCACTGAAAGGGCGAAGCATCGCCAGGATCGCAGTATGCTGTAAATACATCTAGTTTTCCATCACATTGGAACGCGTCTCTCCCGGATCCAACATTTATATTCAGGATAAAAATCAAACGACGAGGGGAAAAATATAAGTTACTGTCACGTATTGAAAAATAAAAGAATGGACTGGGGGTCAAATCTCCCCACTACGGTGAATGGAAATTCAAATGCAGAAATGACGTTGGTGGATCAGCCTCTGCCCGGGTGAAATGTGTGTTTTATATATATATATATATATTATATTATATATATTATATATATATTATATATATATATATATTATATATATATATATGTATGTATGTATATATGTCGTGCCGAATATGTAAAACTGGTCAATTAGCAAGATCTCATTTAAAATTAATTCCTTTCAAAAAAAATTTCTTATACGTTTAAAGATATATTTTTTTCATTAATGTTAACGTAAAAAATTTTAATTTTGCTCCAAAAGAATCTTAGAAAACTTACCTAACCTTATTATAACAAGAACAATTTATTTTAGCCTAACCCAATTAAATATGTTTTAGATTTGTTTACAGTAATTTAATACTAAACAATCACAATGAAATATATTTTTTTCGTTAGGTTCATTATGATTTTGGCGAAATTATTGCATACACAAATTTTCACTTGTCCTATATGGCAAGATGAGCGTTGCTATTTAAGCCAAGATCGCAAGTTCTGGCTATTCGGCACGACATATATATATATATATATATATATATATATATATATATATATATATATATATATAATATATATATATATATATATATATATATATATATATGCTACTACTGATATATAGACGAGAGGCAACTTAACAATCCTCATGCATTCCATTACCTTTACACCCAACAAGTCAACCAACCGCGCAATCCGAGAACCTTAAGATAAATTAACACCAATAGTTAAGACGAGTCGGGAATGTCTTGAGGAAGAGATACATAGCTTGATTACTGCTTCAGGAGACTCCAGCGTCTCTCTTTTCACCTTCCACCCGACAAAGCGGCTGAAATTAGCTAGGGTTTGTCTCAGGCTCAACAACTTTCTGAAACTTTTGCTTCCAGTTGCCGGACTTGGCAGTAGTGTACAAGGACGGACATACAGAGGCAGCCTCTCTAAATACGTCGTGCGATTTTTACTTATTACGTGGGAAAGTCATCCAGCAGAGGACTTGGAAGTCCTCACCCAGGTTGTCTGCTGAGGACTATCTGCTTCTACCTGCTGCAAGGATTATTGTGTATTTTCTAAGTGTGTGAGTGTACTCGCCTATTTGTAATCACCTATATGTGGTTGCAGGGATCGATTCACATCTCCTGTCCCCGCCTCTTCGATTGCTACTTGATTCATTCCTTTGCTCCAAGAGATTCATCGTACCTCCTTTTAAAGACATGAATGGATTCTGCCTCCACGTGTGTGTGTGTGTGTGTGTGTGTGTGTGTGTGTGTGTGTGTGCGCGCGCGTGCGTATGTGTGCATGTGCGCGTGTGCGTTTGACCTAAATAGCTATTAAAGGCAAGAACAGATTAAAGTTAGTTAAAGTTAGGTTATGTTTTGGAACATAAGACGGCCTTGCTGGCAGGGTTATTAGCACTAATCATTGGCCTTATTATTCTTTCTACGTAAGGTCCTTCAACTGCAACACTAGAAGCAAATAGGAGCAACGCTGGAAGCCGGAGGAGCGACACTGGAACCCAAAGAGCAATACTGGAACCCGAAGAGCAACGCTGGTGGCTTCGCCTACCGTAACAAGCTTCTCTCTAGCATTAATATTATATTTCAGTTCATTATTTGAGGAATATAAGCAAATTTTCCATTACATACTTCATTCCCAACATACAATTACCTGAAATTGTATGAGAACTAATTGTTTACCTAATAGAGGGCGTGACATTACCGTGTTAAGAGTCTACCTGGGAGAGCGTCTGTCACGCTAATAGCAGAAAGAGGATCGAGCCTGTACCACATGGTGTCCAGAGACAACCAACAGAATTATTGAGGGGTAAATGTCCTTACTTTAATATTAAGGAGGATCACTGGCTTCACTTTAACATTAAAGGGTCACTGTTTGCTTTAAATATTAATGTTTTAAGGACTGACCTCAAAAACAACGTCTTACAAGACATCCCCTTAATATTATATTTATGGAGAGAGAAACCTGTATGGGTTATGCAACAGGCAAGGGGAATACGAGGTAATATTTTTTTTTATTTAGGGACCGGGAGGATAGGCCCGGTTCCTGGGATCAAGAGCTTCCCTTTCACCATCTCCCTTCACCGGCATGAAGTCACCTCCTGAAAAGGAGGTGACTTCATACGGTATCAACTCTTCTTACGGTATCAATCCCTCTTTTAAAGAAGAGAGCATTGTAGTAGCCACACACAGAAAGAAGTCCAAAGACGTGGCCTAGGAGAACTCACCTGGCACCAGGAATCAACCATTTCAACAGCTTCCTCAGGTTCCACCACTTCGATGTACTCTCGATCTTCTTCGGCGAGCCAGCGATCCAGCGCCGCCTCCAGCTCCTCCTCTCCCTCGTCCAGGTCCCTGACCTGCGCCAGGTAGAGAAAACCAGAGACTACATAAATGCTAAGAAATGAGAAAAGGGATAGCTGAAATGACTGGTACTATCCATAGCTTTCATTTTGTAAGAGGAACCCACGAGAGTTATTTCACGTAAATAGCTTCATTTAGTTAATGAACAATGTTGCAGTATATATGTAGGACACAGGATTTCGATGAAGATGTGTTTCAAAAACCTTTGATTTGAACAACTTGCACGAAACCCCCAAACTGAAAATAGAAACAACTAGACTGCGTTTCAGGCCGCCCAGAACCCTTATCAAGTCTCGAACGACTTGATAACTTCTCAGGATGGACCGAAACACCAGTTGTTTATTTCCAAATTGAAGACTAATTGTGTACGAGACTTTGTAGTTTGCCCTGTAGCATCTTTGTTTTAGCACCAAACAGGAGCATCTCTCTTCTCTCTCTCTCTCTCTTTCTCTCTCTCTCTCTCTCTCTCTCTCTCTCTCTCTCTCTCTCTCTCTGCTCCATGACCTACCTCGTGCAAGAAGAACTTAGTGGGCCTCCCAAAGAGAACTTCCTCTTCGGCAAAGCTCTCAGCGCCACCATCTTCAGACGATCCTTGCGACACTTCCTCCATAGGGTCTCCCTCGGCCGTTGTCGTGTCCTCCGAGGATGACCTTAGGTCAGTGGTCTCTTCCACTTCTGTATCGTATGGTACAATTTCCTGTATTCCACGTACCTGATAAAGCCACATTGGATGCTTCTTCAAGTACATGGAATACATGGAAGAGTGGAATATAAACCTTGCGGAGTAGGCGAGGTGGTGTTGGGTCAGGTAAGACGATGTTACAAGCCAGGTCAAAGGATCAGGTTATGACTCTTTTTGTTTAATATGTTAATCTAAGAGCTATGCAGTGGGTTTAAATATGTTAAAAATAATGGATAACATAACTCGATACATAATTTCATGGAAGAAATCACAAAACGCGTGTTTGCAAATATGAAAAAAAAAAATACCACAGTGAAAACAGGAAATAAAACCTGAGCGCTCTCATATAACTGAAGATGTTTGTGTAAGCACATGAAAGCGCTCAGATTTTATTTCCTGTTCTCACTGTGGTACTTTTTTCATAAAGCCCGTATGGGTCATTCAGCGCAAGGTGTATCGGGGACTGTGTTCTACGTGATAATCATATTTAAATTGAGTGTTGAAAAGGACCTGCCCAGTATGGGCCAACCGGCCTACTGCAGTGTGCTTCCTTTCTCGTGTTCACCGGCGTTAAAAGGTATTGAAACATCTGTCCTCTGTCCCATAAGTGTGAGACAGAAGCCATGGACAACACAGACGGGGAAGTCTTCCCTCGTAGTTTCATCAGGATCTTCAAGAGAAAGTTTGGGTTTCCTTTGCCATTCATTATGATACAGCCTTCTGTCTCTTACGTTTTTCTTTTCCAACCTGAATCTCTATTCAGCTCCTCAGTAGACATGACTAATATAGACGCGAGGGATGATATGCATATGATGAGTGATACATTGACGTCAGTCTTACGAGCGAGTGATACGCCGTCAGTATAATAAATGATAGTGATGTCAGTCTTACGAGCGAGTGATACGCCGTCAGTATAATAAATGATAGTGATGTCAGTCTTACGAGCGAGTGATACGCCGTCAGTATAATAAATGATAGTGATGTCAGTCTTACGAGCGAGTGATACGCTGTCAGTATAATAAATGATAGTGATGTCAGTCTTACGAGCGAGTGATACGCCGTCAGTATAATAAATGATAGTGATGTCAGTCTTACGAGCGAGTGATACGCCGTCAGTATAATAAATGATAGTGATGTCAGTCTTACGAGCGAGTGATACGCTGTCAGTATAATAAATGATAGTGATGTCAGTCTTACGAGCGAGTGATACGCTGTCAGTATAATAAATGATAGTAATGTCAGTCTTACGAGCGAGTGAAACACTTATATCAGTATTCTGAGTGAATACATTGATGTCAAGTCTTATAATACGGTAATGTTTGTATTATGAGTGATAGTGATGTAATATGGGATCCTGAACCACGCAGTGTGTAGTGACAGTTCACTGTATGTATTAACATATGCTAGTATAAATAATATGAGTATTTCTCTCTCACAATTCAACTTACTCTTATGTGGTTAATTTTACCTCTTGTAAAAAAATATATAACCTCGGCAAAGAAATCATTGATGAACGCTGTTTTTACCAACTGTGCTAATAATCTTGCGTTAGAAGTACCTTAAACAAAAACGAAGAAGGACGTTTAACCCACTGACGTCTTTATCAAGCCCTTTAGTGAGTAAAACGTCGCATTAATAAAAGGTTTCTTTACTGTGTCTCCCTCTACCACGAGCTTTGTACAGAGATAATTGTTTAAGACGTCTGTTCGTCCTACCATTATAAATAAGTGAAGCGACAGGAAATAAAGGGAATAGTGCAGGTAGTAATGAAGGAAAGGCATCATTCGGCCTCTTTGTTGTCAGGACAAAAACTTGCTTTGTATCTGTGTCCTTCCACCATAGTGGCATTAGAGACCCTACGTAGCGTGCTGTTTACGATCCTCATAATTGAACATTACCTACATGAAGTTCACATTTCCTTTGAAGTTTTATCACAAACAGTTTATCAAAGTAGTTAGTAACTGGCTATTTATCTAATAGGTTTGATTAAAAACAATTTGTCTCGAGCTTTCAATTAGCTGTGCTAATTCCTAATTCTAAGGATTTGGTGGTACCCATGTTCGCGTACCGCTATCCGGTCCCGGTTGATCTGAATGGCCCGCTGTCGACAACAGAGAACGTAAAAGAATGCATACACCGAGTGGTGTGTATCTCTCATTGTGTATATGCAGAGAGTATACTTTAATCCCTATTTTCGGAATGAGATTACACTTGACTGGGGAGCGAACAATGACAGGCAGCCTTAATGACCTTCGTGCAGGCGATAGGTTTTAAAACCAGAGGTTCCCAACCTTTTCTCTGTCCCGCGCCCCTAGGAACCAAGTATAGTACTGTGGCTGAACAAATTGAACTCAAAATCAAGCTTTAAATTCAGTGCTTAAAATTCAAATATAAATTGAGCAACAAGAATAGTTTTTTTGTAAAATACATGGAATTGTACTTTTCAATGATTCTTTGTCGGACCCTTGAAATGTCATCTCGCACCCCTTGTGGGTGCAAAATGGCAGGGGTTCCCAACCCAGGGTTGGGAACCCCTGCTTCAAGACCAATGAACCATCCACAACATCAGTCAGTCTGGGGCCTAGTTCCGAAGTCTTTGGTGCGTCCATATGCTCTTGCGCTGCCGCCCACAGGATGGATATGAGGTGCCACTTCGGTGGCTAAATCTAAAAGATAATCTGAACCATCCAGCCCATAGTGAGGAATAGGTACACAACTAGTCTTATTGGATAGCATTTCGATCTGCGTAGATTTCTGTGACTTGGTAAAGATCTACACAGAGCGAAACGTTGTCACAATAAAGTTTGTTTTCCATAGTTTCTCTTCTTTGCCAGCCCGGCCTGACATGACATACACTTCAAAATTGACGAATGTATTTTAAACAGGATTTCTAGTTTTGTTTCGACAAACTTTGGAGATATAGACACGTATCTAACACTTGGTACAATTTAATATGACACGTTTCGCCTTCTCTCTCTATGTTGCACATCCCTCAAGTACAAACTTCGTCTCGTGTGTAGACTGCCTTCTATGTATACTTCTTTCCTGCATATATACCTCTTTTCTCAATCTATAGATCTCGATTCGTAAATCTTTTCTCGTGAACTAACAAGAAATACACTAGAAATACTAAATTGTTTTTTCTCTGTTATTAACACTAATGAAATACATAACGGCAAAACAGTAAAAAAAAAAGAACAATATAAAATAAAAGCTGTGACAAACAGAGCTTTAAAGGCCGGGTTGTAGCAATATAGTGGGTGCCATTGTTGCCGGTCTCCCTAGGCACTCACCGCGACGCACACGTACACACACTGGCATACATAAAGCCAAAGTTTAGGGCAGTAACTGGTTTTATGTGTGTGTGTGTGTGTGTGTGTGTGTGTGTGTGTGTGTGTGTGTGTGTGTGTGTGTGTGTGTGTGTGTGTGTGTGTATGTGTGTGTTTTACTAAATACCTATTAAAACTATAGGATTAGAGTCATTCTCGTCTTCAGCATCTACTAATATATATATATATATATATATATATATATATATATATATATATATATATATATATATATATATATATATATATATATATATATATATATATATAATGTCGTGCCGAATATGTAAAACTGGTCAATTAGCAAGAACTCATTTAAAATTAAGTCCTTTCGAAAATTTTCTTTTATACGTTTGAAGATATATTTTTTTCATTAATGTTAATGTAAAAATTTATAATTTTGCACCAAAAGAATCTTAGAAAACTTACCTAACCTTATTATAACAAGAGCAATTTATTTTAGCCTAACCCAACTAAATATATTTTAGATTTGTTTACAATAATTTAATACTAAACAAACAGAGTGAAATATATTTTTTTCGTTAGGTTCAGAATGACTTTGGCGAAATTATTGCATACACAAATTTTCACTTGTCCTATATGGCAAGATGAACGTTGCTATTTAAGCCAAGACCGCAAGTTTTGCCTATTCGGCACGACATATATATATATATATATATATATATATATATATATTATATATATATATATATATATTATATATATATATATATGTATATATGTATATATAACACAGCCCTTTTGTTTCTCCCTGTAATACTGTATTTATGCTACCCTGTGTAGCGCTTATACAGCATTTTCCTCTGAAATACAATTTATGCTGTATTGTCATAAATTACTATATTACACTGGCAAGCCATAAAATAGTTAGATAAATAAGAAAATGATAATACAGTTATTGACAACGTAGGCTGGGACAAAATTGGTTTGGTTAGCAAAGCAGGAGAAAAACCTGTCACATGATAACCACACACAAGATAATACAAGGAAACGAAAGAATAAAAGCTTTTTGTTACCACATTTAACAGGGCGAGTTTGAAGTCACAACAACGGCTCTAAAACAATGGTGGATCTTTTTTTTTTATTTTTTTGTAAAATGAGTCACAGGCTGAGTTACGAGACAAGGTATAAACATTAAAATAAATAAATAAATATATATTTATATATATATATATATATATATATATATATTATATATATATATAATATATATATATATATATATATATTATATATATATGAATCCAGCTCCTTGGTAAAATAACTTTTAATGATTTATTATTTAATACGTTCTTACCTGGAGTTTGCCTGGAGAGGGTTTCGGGGGTCAACGCCCCCGCGGCCCGTTCTAAGACCAAGCCTCATGGTGGATCAGGGTCTGATCAACCAGGCTGTTACTGCTGGCCGCACGCAAGCTGACGTACAAACCACAGCCCGGTTGGTCAGGTACTGACTTTTGGTTCCTGCCCAGTGCCTTCTTAAAGGCAGCCAGGAGTCTATTGGTCTTCGTGTGGTTTATTATATAATTATCTCAGATTTGCTGCACGACATTCTAAACACCGTCATCCATCTTGCACTCTGCTTGTTCTGTTTATCCAAGGATGGATTAACACTTTTTTTTTTTTTTGCATATTTAATAAATAATCTTCGCATCATCCACGAACAAACTCAGTCTTTTGTTCCTTTAGCGAGCAATTTTTATGAATTAGAAAGAACGTCCAAGCAAGCATCGATCCTTCAGGCACCCCAGTGGAGAACGTTCCCCGTGAGGATATATTTTTTTTCTTATCGATTTTTGCATTTTTCATTAACTCGAACAGAAAATCTGTCCGCCTTGTAATTTTTCTGGTTGTAGTCCACTTAGGTTTACAGGCATGAGTGAATGTGTGCATATGTTGAAAAATGTTACGCATGTATGTGTGAATGTGTCTAACATTATGTTTTCAATAATGAACCCAGAGGGCTATAAATAAGATACCGAACATAAATTTTTTTAATACGTGAGAAAATAAGCAAAAACTGAATCCTACTTACCATTAGACACGAGAGTTCTCATGTCGACTCTGGGAACTTCATTTTCTACGTAGATAACCTGAAGAACCTGCTCCTCTTCCTCCTCTTCCTCCTCTTCTTCCTCTTCCTCATCTTCCACCCCAGTGAGTTGGCCAGGAACAGATTCAGTGTCTTGACTTGCCAGGATCATGTGTGTTTCACCCTCCTCCTCAGCGCCCGCGACCGTCCCGTCTGGTAAGTTCGCATTCGTGTCTGGGAAAGTCATCGATCTGGCCGACACTTCCCCAATGAGACTCGATGCTCTGCTCGCTTCACTTCTCACTCCACTTTCAAGCACTTTATCGTTATGGCTCACTATCTGTTGTTCTGTTTTGCCTAATACACTCGCACTGTCCGTCTCCTGAGTTCTGGGTTCTTGTTTTGAGGGTTCAGGAACGTAGGTGGGAGGCTTCGGTTTAGCCTCCTCCAGTTCGACTACCGGTTGACTAGAATGAGGTTTATCACCGTAACTTCGTCTTTTACGAGGCGTAAGATCTTTTTCTCTGCTCACTGCATGACCATCTTTGCGTATTTCTTTACACTCGCTGCTTTTCCGTTTCTCTCTGTGTTTGTCTTTGTGTCTGGGCGAGGTTTCCTCGTCGTCAACGGTCTTAAACTGCGTTAGTTCCTTATACTGTTTATGTTTCGGGCTCTTCTGCGAGTGCTCCGAGGACTTGGGTTGCACCTGGGCGTTCTGCGTCTCAACCCATTTCTGTATCATGGACTTCTTGTGGTCATCCATGTACCCGTAGGTCGCTTCGGGTCCGTCAATCCAGGTCTCCAGTTCGTAACTCTTCATTTTGTGACCGTCGTACACTTTAGCTCTATGAAACCTGGGTCCATCTATCCATTGTTCTTCACTCCCACCACCGTGTTGGCTCTGAGACCCGCTGGGGTCTGCATGCGACGCCATACCAGCCGCAGCTTTATGTCTACTATGTCTGGAGACGTGGGGGGACTTGGGGGATTTTGGAGTAGCACCACTCGATAGTTTAGCACCAGAAGAAGAATATTTAGTAGGAGTTCTAGGTAAACTTCCGCCACTACCTACCACACCACTAGCGCTTACACCTTCACGACTCTTGTGGGAGTCTTTAGTCCTGTGGGGCGACGAATGCGAACCATCTTTGGTTACTGAGTGTTTACTGGGCTTCGACGGACTTTTGCCACTCCCTGAGACTTTAGAGGACTTCTTAGGAGTCCTCTGGGAGTCCATTTTGGTAGAAGCCCCGTCAACCGCCGAGCCCCTGAGAGCTTTATTCATTGACAGCGATTGTCGCCAGAGTTTATTGATGGGAGGTAGACTGGCGGATGTTCCCCGTCAGTAGCATCGTCTGCTGCAGGACCCACGTAGATGACGGTGTCGCAAGACTGTGGGAGATACCAGAGAGAAGGGCTGGAGTACATGGGAGAACAAGGGCAAAACATATAGCAGAAACTTTCCCCTCTACATGGAAGCTACCTAAACAATATTATCTTATATAACAGTACATGGAAAAGGAGAGGAAAGCTAAACCCAGCAGCATTTGACATGTTTTCTATGTTAATCATACAGGAAGTGGTGTGCTTAGCCTGGTATGGGTTCAACAGACAGTGCTAGATAGAGGAATTACTGATCAAATTAACGGAGAAATATTTCATCTCTAAATCAAATAATTTAATGTGGAAGAGAAAATTTCAAAATACTCGTAACTAGAGATAAAGTATGTGTCGATACTAACTTGATGTCTCTGTCTACATTAAATTATTTTAAATTTTGATACACTGATATGATTGCAATATACATTTTTTTTACACCATAAGCAATCTTCCACCAAGGCAGGAGTATCGAGAGAAGAAAACACATTTACCATCATTCATTCAATAGCTGTCTTACCAGCTAATTTCGAAAATATATTTTCATTGTTTATCCCTCCAGTTCACGTGTAACTTACTGATGTATTTCACTGTCTATGAATTACAAATCACATACAACACAACTGTTACATTTCGTCTTGAATTAGCTTTGAGCAGATATGTTCCTGAACATAAGGAAAACTAATCACTAGGCTTGTTCGTCATGTTATTTTCGGGGGTAGAGCAATAGCTCCTGGTCCCCCTCTACAATCATATGTACTTTTTGAATGACGGTATTTGAATTACGTCACATTGGCTTCATATACATGCTGACCAGATCAGAGCATGAGAAAACTGATCATCTGGAAGATGATTTTCTCATGCTTGGCAAGAATGACCTCGCTCTAACTGGCAGGAACACAATATTCTCTCACTAGCATCATAATCTTGTCTTACCTGGCAGGAACACAATATTCTCTCACTAGCATCATAATCTTGTCTTATCTGGCAGGAACACAATATTCTCTCACTAGCATCATAATCTTGTCTTACCTGGCAGGAACACAATATTCTCTCACTAGCATTATAACCTTGTCTTACCTGGCAGGAACAAAATATTCTCCCACTCACTGGCATTATAACCTTGTCTTACTTGGCAGGAACACAATATTCTCTCACTAGCATTATAATCTTGTCTTATCTGGCAGGAACACAATATTCTCTCACTAGCATTATAACTTGTCTTACCTGGCAGGAACAAATATTCTCCATCACTGCATATAACTGTCTTACCTTGGCAGGAACACAATATTCTCTCCTAGGCATCATAACTTGTCTTATCTGCGGAACACAGATCTCTCACTAGACTCATAATTTTCTATGGCAGGAGACCCAAGTTCATTTCACTGCTCATAAGGCTTGTCTTATCTGGAGGAACACATATCCTCACAGCTCATAATCTGTTACTGCAGTGAACACAATGATTCTCTCACTGCATCATGATCCTTGTCTTACCTGCAGGAAACTATCTCTCACTGCATCATATGGGGCTGCACTGCAGGACACAAATCTCACTAGGCATAATCTTGGTTATTGGCAGGAACACAATAGTGTTCTCACTAGCATCATAATTTGTTACCTTGCAGGAACACAATATTCTCTCACTGGCATTATAACCTTGTCTTACCTGACAGGACTATGACCTTGAGTTTCTTGGGAAGGATGACCTCGTCTCACCTGCTCTGAGGAGGAGGGGTCGACGGAGGATGAGCCGCCAGTGTCAGTGAGAGTGCCACGAGATGACCTTCCTGATCTTGACTCCTCTGATGACCCTCCAGAACCTGACCCGCCCATATGGGGCTGCACCCAGGTCAAAAGTCACAAGGGAAAGTTGGATTGAGGTCAGAGAAGCGAAATAGTGTTATTCTTGTGTGTTTATTGTTGATGCAAGAAATGTTATAGAATCAAATAGTTTAAGTACATTTATGTGAATTGTTAGTGGAAAATTGTATAATGTAATCAGTTAATGAGTGCTAAAACAAACTATTCCTGCCAGCAAGTGGCAAACCAGGAGTTAAGAGCATGAGACAAACCCTGTTATTATTATTAATAATTTTTTATAATTTTATCATTATTGTTATTATTATTATACCATATTAATGTACTACGCAGAAACAAGCGGGTATATACAGAGAAAGATCGCAATCAGCAGGATTCGAACCTACTACTGGGAGACTGGCAAGGTTCCCCAAGTAACACTCTAGACTACTCAGCCTCAAACCAGGCTGTTCAGCTCTTCAGGTACCTAGTACTGAAAAAGTTAACGTAGCGAAATGAGGATAGGTTGACTCAGGAAATCGTAATGAAAGATTGCAAACAAACCAAGGTACTGGCGGGGATTGAACTCGCGGCAAGTGAGTCGAAAACTCTGGAGTTTTACGACTCACTAGCAGCGAGATCAGTCCCCACCCGTACCGTGGTTTGGTGGATAGGTTGTAGAATCATACCTCGGAGTGAGTACTGAGGAGGAACTCACCTTGATACGTCGCCTCCGGAGTCTGTGAACTCTGGAGGCGAGCTGGATGGTGGCCAGGGTCTCCTGGTAGTGCGCTGAGGAAGGCGATACGTGAACCAGCATAGCCGCCACGCACCTCACTGATCCAACACACTCACGCAGCAGCCGCGGCAACTTCCCGTCCCTGTTGTGGAAGCAAAACGCGACAAAAAGTCAAAATAATTAGTATATGGATTATATATGATATATATATATATATATATATATATAATCATATATAATCAATGTCGTGCCGATACGTAATTTTGGTCAGTTAGGAAGAACTCATTTAAATTAACCTTCTTATAGTTTCTTTATGCGATAAAGATATATTTTTTTTTCATTTATGTTAATGTAAGTTAATATTTTGTACCGAAAGAACCTTAAAAACTTACCTACCCTTATTAAAGTAGCGCAATTTAATTAGCTAGCAACTAATATATTAGAAAGTACAATAACTAATAAAACACAAACACAATGAAAATTTTTCGTTAATTTAAAATGATTTACGAATTATTGCATACACAAATTTCCCTGCCTTATTCGGCAAGAAGAGCGTTGTAATTTAAGCCAAAATCGCAAGTTTTACCTATTTGACATTTATATATATATATATATATATATATATATATATATATATATATATATATATATATATATATATATATATATAATGTCGTGCCGAATATGTAAAATGGTCATTGGGCAAGAACTCATTTAAAATTAAGTCCTTTCTTAAATTTTCTCTTATACGTTTAAAGATATATTTTTTTCATTAATGTTAATGTAAAATTATTAATTTTGGACCAAAAGAACTTAGAAAACTTACCTAACCTTATTATAACAAGACACAATTTATTTTAGCCTAACCAACTAAATATATTTTAAAAAGTTTACAGTAATTTAATAATAAACAAACACAATCAAATATATTTTTTTCGTTAGTTCAGAAAGATTTTAGCGAAATTATTGCATACACAAATTTTTACTTGTCCTTATGGCAAGATGAGCGTTGCTATTTAAGCCAAAATCGCAAGTTCTCCTATTCGGCACGACATTATATATATATATATATATATATATATATATATATATATATATATATATATATATATATATTAATTAAGAAATCAAAATAAAATACTTCACTGGAACAGAAGAGGAATTTCTGATGGTTTTCATATATTTACACAAATCATCATTGTGTCCTCAGAAAGGAGATTTGCATTAGCAACCCTTGATGTAGCAAGTGGTACTAACTTGTAAGGCAGATGTTTCTGTCCATTGAAAATAGCGAGGATGACGTTTCCCAGCGAGGATAAAGTGAGTCTCGAGGGTCCTTTGCCTCTCTCGAGCGCCCCGAAGTCCATCAGGTGAAGCCGGCTTCTTCCTCCCGCAACTGTGTGGGGAAAACAGGTTGGTGTGAACCTTCGTAATTCATACCGACAAATTGTGTTACTCACATCCCACTTTCCGCATATATATATATACTGTTATTTTTAGCCTTTGTGTGTTAGAAGTGGTCATAGTCCCAGGACCGAAACGTTCTCTGATAAGTATATCCTTGTGTTTGCTCAGGTGTCTCGGGAAACAGGTTAGCTGTGACGACTGAAAGTCACAGCTGTGGAAAGAACCTTGGTAATGGATACCGATGTGACGAAAGCCCTGGGATCGAAACGTTTTGTAATAAATAGATACTGATGTTTGCTCACGTGTCTTTTAAAGTCACTTATCAGTATCCAATTCAAAACTAATCCATCAAACGAGAATGCATGCTAAATGATGTTTCGGTCCAGGACAGATCGGAACGTAGTCAATTAGCATTTCCAATTTGCAGGTTAGTTGTCACGTTGACGATGACGGAGCTGCGATATTTTGTGAGGTCTTAAGAAACAGTCGACTATGGTCGATTGGAGCTCTCACGTGTACTGGGTATGCAATGTGGGTTTACTGAACTGTGATGTCCATTAGCTAATTCTGGAAGTCAGACACTGAGCACTTTATATCATCGAAATTTAGGCGAGTGGTAAAAAAAAAAAAGTGGTAATGCTGTGAGCAACCCCTCGTTCAGCATCCATTCGTTCAACATCCATTCGTTCAGCATCCATTCGTTCAGCATCCCCTCGTTTAGCATCCACTTATTCAACAATTACCAACATACAGAGAAAAAAAAATGCATTTTGAAATAGGCTTTTCCACCACCCTTACCTCCGCCCTTCGCCGAGGTGTCCACGGAATACTGGTAGATATTAAGGGAGAAGACCAGGTGGGCATGGCGGCCCTGGTCGTCGACCAGCCTGTGGGCGAGGGCGCAGTCGAGAAGCTGGGCGGCTCTCTCCACCGTGGGAGCTCTTACTTCTGCTGCGTGCGCCAGCAGTAGCGACGACCCCGAGTCTTCCATGAGGAAGACACCGGGGGACTGTTCCCCTGGGAAGGAGAAAACCTGCAGAGTTAGGCCATGACAAGAAAGTTATTGCAAACTGCAATTCAGTAATTTTTTCCTAGTGATGCTAGTTGAATGGAAGAGGTTTTATGTTCCTCATAGATTCGACACAATAATTATTATTATTAAAGCTGAAAAATAGGAGGAACTTAGCTTTAATCTGAGGAAGGGTAGGTGTCCTTATTTCCTCACATCAAGAGCCTCTCGACAGCATTAAATCACCACCTTCTCCAAGGACAAATGCTCTCAAAGATACAAGCACTATTCTAGCCTCCTCCTCAATACCCCCGGCACTCACCCTGGGCGTACTGCGCCAGGAGATCGGTAACCACGTCTCCAGGAGCTATCTGAAGGGCGGAGATCCTGACGGAGAATCGTGCCCCGGTGTTGGCTCTGTGGTCCTGTAGAGCCTTGTAGAGCCACCACACTGTAGAGGGTGCTACCCCCAGGCTGTGACAGCTCTCTGGGCCACCCAGCATTGTGTACGCCTGACCTAGGGCATCCAGAAAAAAAGGGAGAGATAGTTGATGTAACTGAAGCATTTGCAAAGGTTTTCATTGATGTTCTAGCAAGGAGGTTGATTTTTTTCTTTTTTACCCATCTAGTATAAAAGCTGTCAGGGAAACAAGTGTGACATGCGGAAAGCAGGGTTAAGGCCTAATTTGAAGAGAAACTTTATAGTTAAATTTTAAGAAGGTAAGAAAGTGGAATGTGGGTTAAGATGCTGCTTAACAGACTGACGATCACCTGTGTGCATAACTTGAGGGCTTCCTTTCTCTCTCTCTCTCTCTCTCTCTCTCTCTCTCTCTCTCTCTCTCTCTCTCTCTCTCTCTCTCTCTCTCTCTCTCTCTCTCTCTCTCTCTCTCTCTCTCTCAGGCGCATACACACACATAGACATGTATGTACACACACACACACACACACACACACACACACAAAAAACACACAACACCGTACACAACACCCACGAAGTCACGCAAGCTTACCGAGATTAGGTTGGCCGAAGCTGAAGACAGCTCCATCAGCTCCTCTCAGCACCGCCACGATGACATCCGTCAGTGCTGCCGAACATACCTCAGTCTGGAAACATTACCACCTGTTATCTGCCTACACATGGTGTTCAATAAATTTTACTCTCTTGAAGCTCTCTTAGGAAGCATGGCACATGATTCATGACAGAAAATCATGGATGCTCTTAGAAAAAAATAGTGATAATTATAACCATAATTTTTAAAGGGATGGACCGGTAAATCAATGGAAGGCTTCGGTCAAAAACCCAGAAGCTCCAGCTGTGGGTCATCATATGACTAAGACCCGCCTCGGGAAACACTTGCCCTGTTTCCTGACGAACCTTTCCTAACCTAACCTATCCTAAAAATATAACTCTTCATTAATTCCATTTCAGTCTTTTATTAGTGCACATCTCTCATGCACACACCGCCTGCCTCAACACCACGTCTCAACGTGCACACACACCGCCTGCCTCACACCACGTCTCAAAGTGCACACACACCGCCTGCCTCACACCACGTCTCAACGTGCACACACACCGCCTGCCTCAACACCACATCTCAACGTGCACACACACCGCCTGCCTCACACCACGTCTCAACGTGCACACACACCGCCTGCCTCACACCACGTCTCAACGTGCACACACACCGCCTGCCTCAACACCACATCTCAACGTGCACACACACCGCCTGCCTCAACACCACATCTCAACGTGCACACACACCGCCTGCCTCAACACCACATCTCAACGTGCACACACACCGCCTGCCTCAACACCACGTCTCAACGTGCACACACACCGCCTACCTCACACCACGTCTCAACGTCACACACCTCCTGCTTCACACCATGTCTCATGCACACACACTGCCTGCCTCACACCACGTCTCAACTGGCGGAACAGTTCACTACTAACTCACAAATTAATATTTTAGACTATGCTCAGGTCCGCATCAAACCATGACAGAGTCGAGACTTTATAATTGTCGAGAATAAACCCAGCCGTCGTCTAGTATGATCCTGCTATAGGATCACTCACCTGTGAGTCCTCGTAAGTGTAGATACCGTCGAAGGCAAACATCTTGGGAGCTGCTATGCCCACCCTGGACTCCTCCGTGTGGGCCGAGGTCGGGTGGACAGCTGACCCGGGGTCAAACAAGGTCACTGTCTTCTTGCGGGGGTCAATGCTGAGCACTTTAGACGACTGCCCAACCTCGGAAGACGGAGCCACACGCAGCAGCACCTTCACCTGTTTCACAAGTAACTTCTACTGTATTGAATTCCATTTTAGTGAGATACCAGAATACGAATTTCACCTTTTAGTTTCGATATCTGTGAAATTGAATGAACTAAAGGAGGCTGTAGAAGCTATAAGCAACTTTTACAAAGGTTGGGTAGAGAGACTAAACAGAGTACAGTTAATAAAGTCAAAGTGGTAAAAGGTATATTTGAGAAGACATTGGTAGAGTGCACAGCAGAAGTATATTCTACCTTCCCATCTTCCCTCCTTCACCCAGGTGGGAAGATGGGAAGATGAACGATTAGTAGAATGATGAGGTAATGAGGGTAGTGAGGGAGAAAAAATCAGTATATGAGAGGCTTTTAAAAAGTGAAAATGATATGCTAAAGGCAGAGTATATGGAGAGAAACAGTGAGTGCAAAATAAGAGTGAATGAGACAATAGGGTAATGTTAATTAGCAAATTTCGTTTTGGAGAGAGATTAATAAGTCGCTAAAGCCTGGAAAGCAAATAAACCTACCATTAAAAAAATGGAAAAGGCGAGAAAACTATATGGAAATGGATCTGTAATAAACGGAGAGAATATTTTGACGAGTTAAATATTGCTGATGAAAGAGGCGGCGGTGACATCAAGCCTTGACCAAAAAAGAATAACACCTGGTAGTAGTGTTTCGTAACAATATAAGAAAATAGCGTTTTCTCTGGAGAGTTGCAGCAGCCGGCCTCGCCATCAGTAAGAACGAGCACCATAGTCACTACAGCCGCGATATATCCCTGGTGGACCCTATATTGAGCCATGAGAATCTCAATATATCACGACTTCCTGAGATTTACTTGCGCCAGGAGCTGTGAGGTATAAAATATTATGGTTTATAGACCACCACTGGCTTTCGGGAATATATGTCCAGAAATATGTAAAGAAAATGTTCTTCCTGTGTTATCGGAGGATAGAGACAGAGATTTTTTTTTTTATCTTTCTTTAGAAAGTTTACTCTTCTCCTCTGTGAGATATATATTGCTTGTAGTTTATACAATGTGAGTGTATAATTCATCATTTTTTAAGCTCCATTATGTGAAATACAGAAGTGTGTGTGTGTGTGTGTGTGTGTGTGTTTGTGTGTGTGTGTGTGTGTGTTTGTGTGTGTGTGTTTGTGTGTGTGTGTAATTCCTATACACATATTTTAGATTTCAAAAAAAAAAATCCTCTTAAAATTGTATATAGCAAAAGTTAATCAGCTGCTTTTCTCTGAGAAGGAATTGCATTTATGAACAATTATCCGGTTCCCATAGCAAAGCTAGAATTGTGCAGAAAAAAAAATAAAACTCGCTACTTGATAATGGTTTAGGTCGGGTTGCAACTTCGTCTACCAGTTGCTGTCTGCATTGTGGTTGTGACCCAGAATTGTGTGTGGGGCCGCATTTTTTATGGATGCGTGTGAATTGTGCTTTTAAAATTCTATAATTATGTGTCGCTTTTATTTAACAGTATTGATGTTACCTGGAGAGGAGAGGTTGATGATAATCGTGGTATATGCCGCTACACGTGTAGCTTAAACGAGCTTTCATTGTGGGAACTTTTCGCTCAGTGTAGAGCTTCATTAAGTACAGACTTGATAAAGCTCCACACGGATCGAAGCCTCGTGCCTTTAAAAGCTTATCTTCGCAAAGTCTATATTTTTACGTTATTGTTGGATGAGATACACTTGTATCCAGCCCACACAGCTGCAACATTGTCTAGGGATTGTGGTCTCCCAGCGGTACCTCTGGTATTTTGAGGGGTCTCCTGTATGATTCCCAGCTGAACCGTATTTTCCCTCTTCTAGCAACCTTAGAGCCAACTGTCCGGTATTCTATCTCTTCTTGCAGATTTAGGGCCAATTGTACCGTATTTCACTTTCATCAGCAATCTAAGGGACAACCAGACTGTATTCTAATACATCTAGCATTTCTAGATCTGTGCCGTATTTTTATATTCTGTGGTACAGTGGTTACCAGCCCTGGGTTGGTACCTCATCACTGCCAGATCATTTCTCCAGTCCTCGATTTCTCCATTAAATCTGTTTGGCTCTTTCTTTCCTGTGGTGTTATTTGGATCATGAACATGTAACATTGGCATGGACCGAGGTCTGGTCATGGATTGCGCCGCGGGGGCGTTAAACTCAGGTATACCCTCCAAGTATACCCTCTAGGTATACCCTCCAAGTAAGTAGAAAAACAAAAGAAATCACTGGTTACCTTGCCGATGCTGGAGGTTTCCTTACACGCGAGTTTCTTGAGCAGTTGTGGAGGCACTGGTGGGGGGTGATCCCTTAGGGCTGGCCAGTAAACCCCCAGGGGTCCAGGGATCATGCTTAGGGGCCCCTGAGTGACGACTGGGGCCCCCGTGGTTGGGCTCGGGGGCACGGAGGTGGCCATGGCCCCGTCGTCCGAGACTGGCCCCGTGGCACACTCTACACGTCGACCAGCCACGGGGGATGGACGAGGCGACCTTCTGTAAAAAAAAAAAAAAAAAATCTAAGTAACGCAAAACCTCATACCTGGATAACTCTGTTTATGAAAATTTCCTACATATAAAAATTTTACACCTGTGAAAATTTCTCAAATATAAACAGATAAACGTGTGAAAACTTCATGAATGAAAGTCACATAAAAACTTCGTATCCACAACCCGAACCTTATGAGACTGAAACTTAAGACGACGTTTCAGTCCAACTTAGACCATTAGAAGTTTATTCATGCGAAAATCTCATACATGGACACAGGTTATATACATCGACAGGTGTATATAACCTGTTTGGATTAAGATGTTCCTGTTTGGTGGTGAAGAGGACTCGTGTAGCCTTAATGACCCTAGTGTGGTCGATAGGCTTCAAACCCCCCACTAACTTACGCGTGTAGAAATAAACTAAAACATAAGTATCATCTTAATCTAAATCGAAAAATTTTTAAGCCTTGACAACTTAGTGACCAAAATAAAATATTATTTAGTTATCCCCCTCAAGGAAGGTTCCTTGACGTTGGTGAGGGGCTCTTGATTTAGGGAATTGGATCTGTGCTCCAGTTCCCCGAATTAAGCCTGAATGCCTTCCACATCCCCCCCCCCAGGCGCTGTATAATCCTCTGGGTTTAGCGCGTCCCCTTGATTATAATAATAATATTTAGTTGTCATGCCATAGTTACAGATTTTGATAGTTCGAGGACAGGAATAGTTTCGTAAACGAATTCTAGTACAACTAATGATAACGAAACTCACTTGGAATATCTTAATGTCACAACTTTGGCAATTAATGGAGTGGTAACGATTTAGTATTTAGGGGAGCTATGAGTGACTGTATCCCTTGCGTCCACACGAAGAGCTTTCTTGAAGAATTTCAGAGTCTTGGGGCAGGGAAGACGATGCGTACTATAATGAGGCTTGATCTGGGACCGAGCAGCAGGGGGCGGTTTTCCCCCTGAATCCCGTCAGGTAATCTTACCTGTATGTTATCTGTAGTCGCTTGCAGCGGTCACCGGCCCAGCCACTGCTGCCCAGTCCCAGACCAGGCCTCCTGGTCGCTTCCAGGGGTCGCCGGCCCAGCCACTGCTGCCCAGTCCCAGACCAGGCCTCCTGGTCGCTTCCAGGGGTCACCGGCCCAGCCACTGCTGCCCAGTCCCAGACCAGGCCTCCTGGTTGCTTCCAGGGGTCACCGGCCGAGCCACTGCTGCCCAGTCCCAGACCAGGCCTCCTGGTCGCTTCCAGGGGTCACCGGCCGAGTCACTGCTGCCCAGTCCCAGACCAGGTCTCCTGGTGGCTTCCAGGGGTCACCGGCCCAGCCACTGTTGCCCAGTCCCAAACCAGGTCTCCTATTGGCTTCCAGGGGTCACCGGCCCAGCCACTGCTGCCCAGTCCCAGACCAGGCCTCCTGGTCGCTTCCAGGGGTCACCGGCCGAGTCACTGCTGCCCAGTCCCAAACCAGGCCTCCTGGTCGCTTCCAGGGGTCACCGACCCAGCCACTGCTGCCCAGTTCCAGACCAGGCCTTCTGGATTCCTAGCCTGATCACTCAGACCCTCGAGTTAATCCTGACAAAACATTTAGACATATTTGGATTTTAAAAGGAAACTTTACATCAATTTTCAGGAAGTCAAAACAGAGAACAAGTGAGGCAGCGTGAGAGGAATTGTTTTCCTATCATCCGAGGCAGCAGTGGGATAGTACCTCTGATATAGTTAAAGAAATTTTCTTCTATTGGATAATTGGGTCTAAGGCCTCCCTGACGTATAGGACGTCGAGTGATACGTCATAGACGACGGGAAATCAATACGCTTAATAAAAACCCGATGGATCATTCGCCCCTAGCTCCATGAATTAAGAATATAGTCTCCGGTAAGTCCCAAATGGAAGTGTCTTGTAAGTTCGCTCGAGTCAAAAGCAAAAACCCAACGAGACGTACGCCATCAGCTTCGACCCGTATGTTGCCCTCGTATAAGAGCGGGTATCGGTGTCACAAGTCAAGTGTCTTGCGCCCAAAGAGGTTACGGTCTCAAGGGAGTCCCAGTCTAGCCTCTCAAGAAAAGAGAATTCTTTATTTCTCTCACTAGAGGAACTACTCTTTCTGCTTCTCCTCAGCTGTGTCTCTCTCTCCGATTTCCCGAGGCTTCCAAGAAAAATATTTTCCGGCTTATCGCCGGTGATTTATGCTTATCTTCCTTTTGTTATTTTTCCTCTGTGGCTTTGAGCGACTCAAAGCATATAAATGTCAAAGGAAAAAAAGTGGACAGGCTCTTAAAATGCAAAGAAGAGATGCTCCCTGAGCCTCTCCCAGTGAGAAGTTTCTGGAGATTATTCTGCTCGCTGGCCTCACCTGCCTCACCACCTCAGTGCTGTATAGTCCTTGTGGCTTGGCGCTTCTTTTTGATTATAATAATAATCACCACCTCAGTACACCTCTTGCTGACTCTTTTTTTCTAAATTATTTTTTTTTCATAAAAGTATCCCCCCGCGCACGCACGCACACACACACACACACACACACACACACACACACACACACACACACACACACACACACACACACACACACACACACAGGAGCTCGGACTCGGGGCCAGGAGCTCGGACTCGACCCCGCAACCTCAACTAGATGAGTACACACACACACACACACACAACACACACACACACACATGTAGTCCCAATCTTTAAAAAGGGAGACAGACATGAAACAATAAACTACAGACCAGTGTCACTGACATGTATAGTATGTAAAGTCATGGAGAAGATTATCAGAAGAGTGGTGGAACAACTAGAAAGGAATGATCTCATCACCAGCAGACAACATGGTTTTAGGGACGGGAAATCCTGTGTCACAAACCTACTGGAGTTCTATGACTGGTGACAGCAGTAAGACAAGAGAGACAGGGGTGGGTGGATTGCATTTTTTTGGACTGCAAGAAGACGTTTGACACAGTTTCACACAAGAGATTAGTGCAAAAACTGGAGGACCAAGCAGGGATAACAGGGAAGGCACTACAATGGATCAGGGAATACTTGTCAGGAAGACAGCAGCGAGTCATGGTACGTGGCGAGGTGTCAGTGGGCGCCTGTGACCAGCGGGGTCCCACAGGGGCCAGTCCTAGGACCAGTGTTGTTTCTGGTATTTGTGAACGACATGACGGAAGGAATAGACTCCGAAGTGTCCCCGTTTGCAGATGACGTGAAGTTGATGAGAAGAATTCATTCGATCGAAGACCAGGCAGAACTACAAAGGGATCTACACAGGCTGCAGACCTGGTCCAGCAATTGGCTCCTGGAGTTCAACCCCACCAAGTGCAAACTCATGAAGATTGGGGAAGGGCAAAGAAGACCGCAGACGGAGTACAGACTAGGGGGCCAGAGACTACAAACCTCACTCAAGGAAAAAGATCTTGGAGTGAGTATAACACCAGGCACATCTCCTGAAGCGCACATCAACCGAATAACTGCTGCAGCATATGGGCGCCTAGCAAACCTCAGAACAGCATTCTGACATCTTAATAAGGAATCGTTCAGGATCCTGTTCACCGTGTACGTTAGGCTCATATTGGAGTATGCGGCACCAGTTTGGAACCCACATCTAGCCAAGCAGGTAAAAAAACTAGAGAGAGTGCAAAGGTTTGCAACAAAACTAGTCCCAGAGCTAAGGGGTATGTTCTACGAGGAGAGGTTAAGGGAAATCAACCTGACGACACTGGAGGACAGGAGAGATAGGGGGGACATGATAACGACGTATAAAATACTGAGAGGAATTGACAAGGTGGACAAAGACAGGATGTTCCAGAGATGGGACACAGCAACAAGGGAACACAGTTGGAAGTTGAAGACACAGATGAATCACAGGGATGTTAGGAAGTATTCCTTCAGCCACAGAGTAGTCAGGAAGTGAAATAGTTTGGGAAGCGATGTAGTGGAGGCAGGATCCATACATAGCTTTAAACAGAGGTTTGATAAAGCTCACGGTTCAGGGAGAGTGACCTAGTAGCGACCAGTGAAGAGGCGGGGCCAGGAGCTAGGACTCGACCCCTGCAACCTTAACTAGGTGAGTACACACACACACACACACACACACACACACACACACACACACACACAAGACACGAGAGTCTGAGCCAGCAAGGCCGGACCTACTCATCACCATAGGCTTCAGGGAATCGCCCATACAAGACCTCGAATATTAATGCCCTCCAGAACAAGGGTCCCCAACCTGCGACCCTCGGGCCGCAGAAAATGGATGCGACCCTCGCATGACATTATGAATTCACAGTGTCAACAGTTACAAAATATTATTGTTATTATTCATATAAAAATAGTAAAATTGCAAAATCCGGCCCTCCTTTAAATTTGGGTTTTTGAAATAGGCTTTTTCATACTACTGTTCTGGTGGCCACTGTTATGCTCCTTGCAGAGATGACACTGACGAAAAATTAAAAAATATAGTGAGTCACAGAAAACGACAGACAATATGAGGGATAATTATGCAGTTTTAAGGTCGATAAACAGAATATTCTGAGAAAAATAAGAAGACAGTGAGTTAGATGACTTAGAACATCAGTACCACTTTTATCTAATCTTAGAACATCAGTACCACCTTGATCTAATCTTAGAACATCAGTACCACCTTGATCTAACCTTAGAACATCAGTACCACCTTGATCTAATCTTAGAACATCAGTACCACTTTGATCTAATCTTAGAACATCAGTACCACTTTGATCTAATCTTAGAACATCAGTACCACTTTGATCTAATCTTAGAACATCAGTACCACCTTGATCTAATCTTAGAACATCAGTACCACCTTGATCTAATCTTAGAACATCAGTACCACTTTGATCTAATCTTAGAACATCAGTACCACCTTGATCTAATCTTAGAACATCAGTACCACCTTGATCTAATCTTAGAACATCAGTACCACTTTGATCTAATCTTAGAACATCAGTACCACCTTGATCTAATCTTAGAACATCAGTAC